TTATTCAGTTCTAAGCCAAGCTGAGAAAAAGACTTTTTTTTCTTGATGATTTCAAATTAAGGCAGTAATCAGCTATGTTTTTCTATTGACAGAGAGCAAAAATGTGTCCATAGAAAGTTGCTCTACCCCGTCGATCTTAACTTTTATATTTTCTACAGATAAATATTTTTTTTTTATTTCAAAGTGTGACATTCAATTGAAACTCATCGACTGCTTAAAAAGGACAAATACAAAGCAAAACTGGGCAAAAAAAGCTCATTAACCTACTGGATAAATATGTCAAATTAACCATGTTGTCATCAAAAGACTTACTTCGGTCCGTCTTTGATTTCTTATTAAGATGGCAAGTTAAACCGTAAATTAGCATTGATCGACGCTTCAGATATCCTCTAAGCTGTTGATGTTTCTCATAATTTCAAACAATTAAAATCATGCGCGAAAATACGAATGAGGTATTACAATTCTTTGTCCAATATCGATAAAAATCTACAACAGAATATTAATTCTCTCAACCTTGTAATTTCCTGCCATCGAGGCGTCCCACCGTTAAAGTAAAACTATTGAAATGTCTAAGGGAAGCTAAACTACGAAACTTCGATAGTCATACAAGAAGTGTGCACCAGTCAAATAACCTAATGACTTCTTTTTACGTTAAAATTGTAAACCGATCAGGTGCGTGAAAATAAACCCGTTGTTGTCAAAATACGATACCCAACTGTCGTTTAATAACATAGCTTAAATAATGGTATTTTAACTTGAATTTTTGTTCCAAATGAAAACGCTAGGCCCTACTTTTATAATAGCATGCATAATCTCCGACAAAGGTTCAATATAAACAAAATTTACCACTGTCAAACAATCAATGTAGCATGAAATCCGCAATAAAGTGGAATCTAAAATTATAATGGGGGATGTTTAAATACAAATAATACTAAATTTATACAAAATTTAGCGGTAAGACCATAAATGATTTTAAGATTTTACAAGACAAATGGATTATTTATCAAATTCAATAAAAAACATTTTATTGACATTTAAACTCAAAATAATTTATCAAAACAACTCCATAAATCAAATATTCAAAAAGATGTAAATATAAATACATGACACAAAAATTATTAAACCTATACTGTACTCTAAGAACTTCTTATTGTTAGCAGTATATTGATATCAGACCTAGCGGTATATTAAGTGTCAGACTTAGCTTGATATTAATATCAGACATAGCTCAATATTGATATCAGAACAAGCTGTATATTAGTGTCAGACTTAGCTTGATATTAATATCAGACATAGCTCAATATTGATATCAGAACAAGCTGTATATTAGTGTCAGACTTAGCTTGATATTGTTATCAGACTTAACTCAATATTGATATCAGAACAAGCTGTATATTAGTGTCAGACTTAGCTTGATATTGATATCAGACCTAGTGGTATATTAGTGTCAGACTTAGCTTGATATTGATATCAGACCTAGCTGAATATTAGTGTCACACTTAACTTTATATTGATATCAGACCTAGCTGTGTATTAACAGCAGACGTCACTTGAAGCTTTATTTTGATATCAGACCTATCTGAATATTAGTGTCAGACTTAGCTTTTTATTTCTTTCAAATTAAGCTATAGAATAGTGTCAGATCTATATATATATTGGTATCAGGTCTAACTGTATACTGGCATAAGAACATACAGCTGGTGTCAGACCTAGCTTTATATTAGTGTCAGGCCTAACTGAATATTAGTATCAGACCTAGGAGATGGGGAAGGGGGCAATTTTAGTCTTTATTGTCATTAGCACTCAATTACTTCAATGAGCAATGTAGACTTCTTTTTTAGAGGTAAGTAGCTTTTAAGGATGCTGAAATTAGGAAGCCATCAAATTCAATAAGGAGTCTGGTCAGAGATGTAGAGAAGTGCAGACGGACACAAGTAAATATTACTGCTAGCATAATTACAATTTCATTCCTTAAATTAACAGAATTTCTTCCTCTTTCATGACAGAATACTAGAATATCTGTAGCTGCAATAGTTTTTAATAAATCAACTTCATATATCATTTTACTATATAAAGACAGACAATAACGTCCCCTGCATATTTGAGGGTATTGCATACGCAAATGTTAAGCATTTCCTATATACTTAAGACTTTTCGCCACTCTTGTGTGATGCTTTCACAAAGAAATATCTACTGAAGTTCAAAAGCAAAATACCAGTCAGCAAATCATCTAAATTCCTTGAAGGAAAAGTAAAAAGAATATTAATATTAAAGCAAAGGCGGCAAAGAGTCAATAATCTATATAATGCGGCTGTCACAGGGTGACATCAACGTAACAGCCTATCAAATACATTAGATTATTGGGAGGCAGTAAATTAGATAGAATAATTGCAATCAACTAGAAACTAACAGAATTTCATTTCCCCAGAAGCTGTCACAGATGTATATATATATATCTATATCAAGAGAGGGAAAGAGAGCTATGTAATTTAATACAGCCCAGCTGTCCTCAGACAAAAATTTCCGGTAGTTTTGACTAGATCAATTGACCAAATCAATTTTGCTTATAAGCAATTATAAACATTCTCATTTGTGATCATTGATCTCTTCATAGTGATCATTGATTTCTTCATAGTGATCATTGATCTCTTCATAGTGATCATTGATCTCTTCATAGTGATCATTTATCACTCTTATTGATCATTTATCTCTTCATATTGATCATTCATCTTTCCATAGTGATCATTATCCCTCTTAGTGATAAGTCATCTCTTCATAGTGATCGTTTATCACTTTTAGTGATCATTCATCTTTTCATAGTGATCATTGATCTCTTCATATTGATCATTCATCTTTCCATAGTGTTTATTATCTCTCTTAGTGATAAGTCATCTCTTCATAGTGATCATTTATCACTTTTAGTGATCATTCATCTCTCCCTAGTGATCATTATCTAACTAAGTGATAATTCATCTCTTCATAGTGATCATCCATCACTCTTAGTGATCATTCATCTCTTTGTAGTGATCATTTTATCTCTTTTTATTGATCATTCATCTATTCATATGGATCATTTAATCTTTTCTTAGTGATCATAAATAACTTCATAGTTTCGAACATTAAGATCTCTATAGTGATCATAAACCTTTTCTAAATTGAGGCTATATGTACTTTTAAGTAAAATTGCAAAAGTTAAAACAAGTTGAAAAGATAAGTAAGTCCTTTTTATTTTAACAATATGCCGAAAAAATAAGTTCATAACTAACCCACAAAATTATTGTTAATTAGACAATCCAATGACAATGATCTACATTGGAGATAATAATAACAAAGCTACTTTTTTAAATTTATTTTTCTAACATAATTATAAACATAGAGGACACTTAGAAACCCTTATGCTCTCACTTTATTTGTACAGTGGCATATTTACATATTTTTATAGGTGGAACAAGCTTTTACTGGTCAATGGTACAGTACTAGTGACCCTGAGTCCCTAACCCTTTATTCATTGACTTCAATGTCAATAGGGGTCATGTACTACGCCATGACTAATTAATTGGTTGGACAAGCTTTTTAAGTGGTCAAGGTCAAGGTGACTGACTTTTGACCTATAAATCAATAGGGTTCATCTACTTGCTATAGGCAATGTCTCTATATATTTATTGTATATTATAACAGCTTTTTTCCCCCATTAAATCTGCACTAAGAAACATCAATTTACTATTTAATATGACGTCATAAAATAGAATAGCTTACTTATTAACAGCTAACCACAAATGATAAAACATTCCATTTTTTTAAAAAAAAAGTCATACACAATACAATAAAAGTAATCAATAAATTTAAATTCAACAAAAGTTCAGCTTTTGAAACATCATGATTACCACAGCTTTGTGGTTCTGATTCATGTAATATTGACTGAACGATAAGTTCAAAATCATAATAAAAATGTTCATGTCCGGAACAAGTCGGATATTTTTATTGGTCTTGTCTTTTGAAACATAACAAGTTTTACATACATTTTGTGGTTTTGATTACGCAGCATTACAATAATGTTTGTAATTAAATGAAACAATAAAATTATTCAAAAATGTCATGGTATAATTTTAGCTGTCATGTTTAAATGGTTGTTTTGTCTATTTTACTGGTGCATAAAAAAGGGGTAGGGTTTATTCCTTCCATAGAACAGCAATATTGCATAACCACAACATGCGAAATGTACATTTTAAAATGACTAGATTTAAACAACAAACATGTGGGTTTTATAAGGTGACTTTCTTGCTATAATTGTAGGTGGAAGCATGACATTTCCATGTGCATTATTTCCGTTTTTCAGTTAATATAGACATGGGTAGAACCAATCAGATCATCTTGGCTATTATTAATAATAACCAGGGACTTAATATCAATTGAAAGTAGTTCTAACACATAGTTTTAGACGTAAACAAAAAACAGAGGGTGTAATTATTGATAATTGATAATTTTATAACAAATGTACATTTTTGACATTCAAAGGAAAAAAAGAAAATATATCTGAAAATCATAATCAATTTTAAAAATGCCTACTTATGTACATTATAACCAAATCCAATTTATTGTCAACAGATAAACATTTTGTACTTTCGGTTTCTACAACCATAATCATAAGTATATAAATAATGTATTGTTTACTTTTATTTCTACAAATATACTTATTTAGGTGGACGTTTACTCGTTATATTGGTATAAATTTAGTGACATTAACTCCTAGCATTAAATTACTACTTGTTAAATTTACTTGTTTAGTTTTTTAGTGTAGGTTACACAAAAATACTGTATCCATTCTGTGTATTCTTTAGTAGTATTGGGTTCAAGTTCATTATCCGAAGACTGACAGAAAGGGCCGAAAAGAAGCAATTGGGGTGGAACATCCTGCAGGCAAGGTAATTTTACATATCCCTGAAGACTGAAGAAAATAATATCACCATATTTTAAACTACGAAACAAGAAATATAACTCACCAACTCCTCCTTCAGCCTGTACCGTGCACAGTGAAACTAAACAACCAATCAAAATCCAGAATAGAGACATTTGACCAATCGGAAACAACCATGGTTTCATTCTCAGTATCTACCTGAAATTCAATAAAGATGATCGTTAAAATAAACATCTTTAAAAAATAATAATAAAATAAACATACTGAAAATCAAAATTCTAAAAGATAAAAATATTATATCCTAAAAATCTTGTACACAAATAAGTTACAATTTTTTTGTATTTAATGAAACAATCTGGTGTTGAAAAAAAAAATCCAATTGAGTTATTTTGTGTTTGAAATGGAACCATAATATTTTATAATTGTAATGTTGATTCACTTGTTCCTTTCATTTGAAGCATTGGACTGTATTAAAACAGTTACTATTTCCCCATCTACCAATGTTTGATATAAGATAATTTCCCCATCTACCAATGTTTGGTATAAGATAATTTCCCCATCTACCAATGTTTGGTATAAGATAATTTCCCCATCTACCAATGTTTGGTATAAGATAATTTCCCCATCTACCAATGTTTGGTATAAGATAATTTCCCCATCTACCAATGTTTGATATAGATAATTCCATCTACAATGTGTATAGAAATTCCCCATCACAGTTTGGTAAGATAATTCCATCTACATTTTGTAAAGATAAAGATATACATCTTTGTAGACCAAGCAAAAAACAATTAAATCGAGAAGCTTAAAACGAGCAAACTTAAAAAGAGGACGATAATTTCAGATTGAAAATGAATCTGTCTAGTTGTGCGTTGGCCATAACAGAATAAAACTTAATGAGAAAAAGTGCACTCTCATAAGAGTTTTGGCCATATGTATGTAAAGAATAATGTGACTATCTGTAATAGGCCATGCAATATGAATGTGAAAATAGGTCATTTTCTAAACAAGGAAGTTTGAATACTAAGAAATATCAAAATGGACCCACTGCGCCATCTGGAAATTACATTGTGTATAACCTGTATAATTAACATTCAAATGTTAAACTTAAGTGTGTAAAACAATATTGCAATAAATCAAAGCTGAAATAAAGATATAGGATCAAAAAACAATTTATGTAAAGTATCGTATGACTATATTATGTACAATGTTACTGTCAGGAAATAAAATTTATCTAAAAACTTTTTTTATACATTGGTATTTCATATCACACTCAGTGCTGGATAGTGTAAAAAACAAAGTTTAAATTAGCCCATTCTTCTATAACAGTGAATTAACACAAAAATCATACTATTTCCCATGGAAAACAAACTCAATTTAAAATATCAGGTCTGATAAACTTAAAGGCCCATAATATGCCCCCCAAAAAAGCTTTTATTTTAATTGATCAAAAATATGTGTTTTTTGGTGGTTTCTCTTATACTTACGGGCCATTTATTTAATCTGTTTTGCTTTGTCAATAAGTACAGATATAGTGATATAGTGTTGTAAAAATTCAAAATATGAATTTGTTTACATTTTCCCAATTTAATCACCAATCATTTCATAATCAGTGCTACATTATGCAGGTGATAAACATCTAACATGCTCTAAAACCTTTATTTAAACGTAATAAAACTAATGTTTGACCTTTCTTAAGAAGGAAATAATCAGTTGTTTCTGAGGCATTCTGTGCCTTTAAATTTATATACTACACAGAATTGTGTATAAAAATAAAGTTATGTTGCGTCTCTGTGCAAAAACAGGTAGCACAAAACTGGGTGTAAATATTTAGTGACAAGCCTTTCACTTATGTGTACTTTTAACTCACTACATATTTCTTTAACCGCCAAAATCTTCACATGCACAAATTATCCGAGAGCATACCTTTATCTCCATATTAAACAAACAAAAATCGTCAAAATAAAAATAAGTCAACATACCAAATGCACCTTGTGTATATTAAAGGTTTATAACATTTCACACTCTTTCGATTTTTACATCCACTTGTTATATCCAAATATATTTATAAACATTTACACATAAATATGAAATATTATACACCAAATTTCACATAAATGCTCATAAAATTTTATATTCCTTCTCCTGCAATTTATATTTAAACCGTAAGTTGCACAAGTTGGCTAATAAATATTAAAGCTTTCTTTACAATGGTTCCAATAACACTATTATAAAACCTGTTAGAAAACCCGACGACCTTGTTCGAAATATTAATCCCTCGCTATTAATCCACGCGTTCTTAATCCAATGTTGAAATTCAATAGAACCAGCGTAATAAGATTTACGCAATGTATTAATCACCCTTCCACCAAAACAACTTTGTTTTTTTTTCCACAAAGTACAGAGCTAATCATCGTGAGGTCGCAAATCACCTGCTTTATACTCTATAATTAGAATACATAACAAAGATTAATTATATTTTTCCCACATTAACACTGTACATTAAATTTAAAACAATATAAACACAAATATCTGTTCACTTCAAAAATCTCATCGAATAAAACACTATGTGTCAAATATTAGTCCCCGTCCTGAGGTTTAATAGTTTCTTGCGTAATTAATTCTCAAAGCTAAGAACATTAAATTGTCTTAACCCAGTTTTTGAAATAAAGTGATCAAAGATTATACAAGTTTGTACTGATCCGGATCATAAAGAGTCACAAATTTTAAAGCAAAACAAACACCTGCACGATCTTGATCCAGGTATATTTAGAAACGGGACAAGACAAAATACAGCATATACAATTTTTGGAGTGTGTGTTTTATGTTAAAGGTAACCAACCCTATCATGACTACATACTCTACCGTGCCTGTTTACATACATAACAATCATTATCATGTATATTATTATAATATACTACTATATATACAAAGTAATATGTCTTTAAATGCAGTCAACATTCATAGGAATTTCATGTGGAAAATTAGAAAATTTACATACTTTTTTTTTTATTAGACTGGTGAAATCATTCTTGATTTTCTCTATAGAAATAATGCTCACGATTTTATGCAGATATGAATAGAAATTTATAGATTTTTAATAATAATAATAAAAAGAAAATACTGAAGATTTTTCAAGCAGTAATTTTGATATTTATAGAACTAACATAGAACATTTTATTTAATTGCTTATTATAATAAAAACGTCCTTTTATTTAATTGCTTATATATATAATAAAAATGTCCATTAGTAAATAACTTATTATTTCATATAGACACCTTTTATCTATGTATAGTCTGTAAGTTCTAATAATCTAATGGATGCCTTTTAAAAAATCAAAGGTAAGATTTTAGACATTTTGGGAAATTTTTTGAAATATTTCTCCCTCAAGCACATTCTTTCATTTTGATAAAATAATTTTTATGTACTGAATATTTACAGGAATATTCCTGAAATAGTAATGATGTCAAAGCCTTGAAAAGTGAATGAAATATAGATCTGTAGATGCCAATTCAGTGCAAGGTATTTCAACTACAAACATATAAATCTTGCTTTCATTGCAAATATATAATTATCCTCAGAAACCTATGTGGTAATTCTGTCCGTTAGATTACAAGGAAATTTTCTCATGTCCTTATTAAAAACAATTTAATTGAAGACAAATAAATGTAGTTAACAAACTAAAACAAAAGAAAACACTTTTCATTAATAAATCTATGGATCAAAGCGAAACGGATGTAACTCCTTCTTTATGTCACATAAGTTACAGTTGTTTCGCACAGAAACCTCGAAATATGCCTTCTTAACAAAGATCATAACTGAACTTAAATAGTCTCTTTTTTTTACTCTGTTCCCCCAGAAGAAACATAATTGTTGATTTTCAACAATTTTAAGAGTATTAACCACTCAAATTATGCACCAAACATCCCTCAAACTTGGCTCATGCATCTAGGCATGGTTCCAGATCTATTATTCTTTTATAAAGCCTGCAATTATTACCATGAAAATTAAATATTCCTCAAATAAAAAGAACCCAAAGTCAAGTTCACAGCAACAAAAAATAAGTGAAGTCAGTTCTTATTAAATTAGGTTCTATTCCTTTAACAGGACCTGTGAAGTTTATAATTTATATTGCCAAAAAAAACTGTATCTTGCAATAAAATAATTGTATATGGAATGCGCTATATATATGCAAATGCCAGTCCCATCCCTAAGATGGACAACATAAATCCCTGTGTGTGTGACATATTGTTTCAGTAACATATTTCTTTCAGATTAAACCCATCCTCATAATGTTTTTTACTCATCTGTAAGTCGGGGTCTCTCATAAGACAGGACCTTAATTTAACACTTGTTTTGATTGGATTTTTATGTCACACCGACACAGTATAGGTCATTTGGCGAAGTTCCAGCTTTTCTGGTGGAGGAAGACCTGACAGGTGCCCTTCCGTGCATTATTTCAGGCACGAACGGGCACCTGAGTAGAACCACCTACGTTCTGTAAGCTAGCTGGATAGCTTCCTCACATGAAAGAATCTAAAGTCCCTGTCGGGTTTTGAACCCACAGTGGTGAGGGGCAAGTGGTTTGAAATCAACGACCTGAACCACTCGGCCACACTTAAATTGGCAACATTTTACTTTGAAATTTCCTTTTTGTAACCTGTGCTACATTTTGTTTGTTTTGTTTTGCGCACTAACATAATTTAAGTAATTTTAATGGCGCCGAAATAGGAAAGATGATTTTGGCTACCCTAAGGTGCTAAACCACCCTTACAGCAACACCAGGGGTCAAAACCACCTCCCCTGCTGGAGCTAAGAGATGCATTGACTTCAGTAATTTGAACCAATTAATAAGTCACCTTACGATCATGCAGGAATACAAGGTGGCTGCTATTCTGATGCCTCAACCCTTAAAGACAACCACTCAGCCACAAGGGGATTCAATTAATTCACATGTATATTGTGAGACCTGATGTCTAAACATTGTGACAAAGTACTTGATCTTTCTTGATTTTTGTAATTAAGTCTCTTCAACAAAGTACTTACATCCTTCTAGTACACTACTTCAAATATATAATGTTTTAAAAGTCTATGAAATAATTCCATCTTTATAAATATATGTTACTTAGCTGCTTCAATTGAAAATTTCATAAAAATGTAGTTCTCCAAATCACAACAATGTTTTAAAATTGGCATTAAAATAAAGGTAGACTACCTTTAACATAGCTAGTCACCCTGTTTAGTTTTATCTCTGAAGCACCCTTTTAACTCACACCACTCGACAGATTTTTTCCCTATATTAGCAAACACAACCATAAATGAGGTCAAATTTATAGTATAACAAATTTGTTTAAGATAATGCTAATGTCATAATTTCCCTTACAGGAAGAACTGACACATTTAACGTAAAAAAAATGTTTTAGGTTAACAAAACCTTTTAGCAGCAGTTTAAATAAACTGTAAATCAATGCTATATTACAAGAGCTATAACTGCATGACCAATTACTTCCCTTGACTGGAGAATCACGCTTGTACAACTGCAATCTCCTTATCTGAAGACTGATTGAAATGGCGGAAAAGTTGTGATTGGTCCAACTGTCCTTTATTGTCCAACTGTCCTTTATTAAACAGACTACAAAAATGTCCAGTTAGCTCAATAGGCAGTGTAGGACTGTGAAATGGGCAATCCGGGTTTGATTCCCGGACAGTGCATCTCACTTTCATTGTAATTGATGGTGAAAGCCTTTCTATGGTCATTCACACTATACCTCTGCTCTGGTATGTACAGAAGTTATCAGTTCCTAGCGAAAGTGAAGGCAACTAGTACTGGTAAACTGCTTGACAGCCTTCCTAGGAACAATGCAATGGCTTAACTGTGCTCTGGTAAATTCAATGTGGCTTATTGCCACTATCCGGAATGAAAACTACCAACATGACCACTGTTCTTGCCAAAGTGTAAAAGCACATGACAAAAAATCCAGTACCTTAACCAATAAGCCATTATGGTATATGTGCAGCACTAAAAGGGATATTTTTGTCTCGATGTACATTTTGTCCTTTTAAACAAGATGCATAAAATTTTACAACTTTATTACAATGTATCAAACAAGTCAGCTACCAAAGTGAATTTCCCGCCAATTTTTTTACTATTATCTTAAGTTGTAAAAAAACATACCTGACAGATAGTACATTTATGAAGTCAATTGTATCAGATTATATTATTCAAATTTGCTTACAGACAAATCTAAAAAATGTATGGAATGTCACACTACGGAAGTTTTATGACTTTTACCGGAGATATCATAATACAAACATATGCTGTTTTCAGATACTATGATTGTATGTTATAGGATTTAGGTCCTGATCGTCTGTCCATAAAAAATGGGGGGTCACAGTGAATAAATTTGAATAAACTTGCATTATTATATATAAAATCAACAAATTTCAGTCAATACATATGTCGAAACAATTTCATGAATGCGAAAAAGAAAATAAAAAAAAAAATACTGCACAGCAAAAAATGGTGCACATCACCTTTGATGTGACACTACAAACTCACGTTATGATGACGTAAACATGGAGATATTTCAATATGACAGCATGCTACACCTTTAAATACCTGTAAAACAGTAATTAATTCAACAATAAAACAATTAATTATAAGGCCAGGCTAACAAAAGTGCATGTTCATGTTATAATGTTGAAATATAGACATCTCAGCATAATTATAGCAGGGCAAGTAATTTTCTACCATGGTGACCAATTGAGTCTAAAATGATACTCAAATTTAATTCAGGTACCTTAGGGGCCATTTACCAGTTCCTGAGAAATTTACCTTGAATCTAGGAATGCTTCTGTGAAGAACAAATTTTGGAACTTAATTTAAAGAAGCAGGCCTCCACACTCCTGCTAATTTTCATGAAAATCATGAAAATGTGAAAAAAAAAAAGAGTAAAATATTGTGAATAAACACAACAAATAATTTACACAATTGCAAATCACTTACAACCAATGTAAATTACTGGCCAAACTATTCAAAAATAGACATGGTGAAAAATACTGCAAAATCAGACATTAAACACACATAACATGACAATTACTACTTTAATCTTGAATCTTTTTACTGTTCTTATAATCTCAGGTTTGATTTTCGTCATCTGGAGGCATGTAGCTTTAAAACCATGCAGTCTCTGGATATACTCTCACTTTACAAAGAGTACAACATAATTATAAGTTTATATTTTGTCACAATGACAAAAAAGCATTAAACTTTTGAAAAATAAATAATCATTTCTATCTTTCTGTTCTCAAATAATCTCGAAATATTAATTTTGTCACAATATCATGCCTGAGTAGAACTTATGAAAACTTTTTATACCTAACACAAATTAAATGGAGGTCACTTATATCGTGTTACTCATTTCCGAAACTTTTTCTTCAAAATTAATCTTAATTAGCTCAAGGTGAAACATTTAAAAATGTTTTAAGTTTGGAGGGAAAGTAGTAAGTGGGTTTAAATAAAATCTAGACCTGAAATGATCCCCTGATTGAAGGATCTCCATTTACCGCAAGGCTGTAAGGTAATATTGTAATAGGTAAATTAGTTAATTTTAGTTATTAAATTGTCCCCCCATGGAGTTTCAAGTGCTCTATTAATACAGATGTATGAACCCAAAATAGCAAATTGTTCAATACCCAAAAAATAAACTTAATTACTTACAATCTTTAAAACAAGAGCTGTCCGT